CCCAGCTATGTGGGAGGCTGAGGCAAGAAGGATTGCTTGACCCCAGGAGTTTGAGGTTGTTGTGAATTACAACATCACTAGCACTCTAGCCTGGGGCAACAGAGTGAAACTCTGTCTCAAAAAAAAAAAAAAAAAAAAAAAAAAGGATAGGGTGGGCCCAAATCTGAAGAGTTATGTTTGTGTATTTTATGTTTTTGTGCCTGTCTAACGTTGCTCCAAAGCCTAATACGGGTAAACTCTGGATCTTGTTTTCTTTAGAAATTTGTTCACCTCTTTTGACCTCACTTAGTATAAAGAACAAAGACAATGATGAATTTACCTTTTGAACTTAAAAATCTGTGCAAAAACTATGTGTTTCTTCTCCAAAATAGTCTTTTATACATACAGAAGTATAGATGAAGCTAGTTCCTTATGGTTGGTTTGAATTCATTAGGTGACAGTTACATACAGCGGAAAATGGGTTACAGAGTCAGATTCATTTGAACCTGGGCTCAAAATAGTATTTGACCTTTTTATGCCTGAAGACAGCTTTTTGACAGTTTACAGAACATCTTTTTGGGCTGTAGCTATACCAGATTGCATTTATGCCATAATGGTCCACTTAAAGCTCCAGGTACTTTTTTCAGAATTAGATTTACTCATAGTGATTTAATTACTTTTTTCCTTAGGCTAGTTATGGCCAGCATCTGATTGTTACTACTCTTCATTAATAAAGAGAATGATTAGGAATCATATCTAGGTAATAGGTAGAATAACTACTGCTAGAATTACTTAAATAATATTAAGAAAATTAATTCTGGAGAACATGATTTTCTAATTAGAATTAAAAAAGGAAACTTTTTCTAGTATATGTATTCTTATAATTGCAAAAGAGATGTGTATTTGTCATGGAAAATTAGCAAATAGCAAAGGCACAAAGAAGAAAATGTTTTTATAGAGATCCCAATACCAAGTGATAACCACATACATAGATTTCTAAGATATATGTAAATATATTTATAGTTAAACTTTATATATGGATCATACTATTATTAATATTTAACTGAATAATGCAGTCACGTTTCTTGGTCCTTGTTATGAAATATAAGCTTTATGTTAATTTGGCAAGTTAAAAAATTTGTGTAATTTTTAAAGTTTTGTATAATTCTATTTCTATGTTTTTCAGTAAAAAAGAGAAGGAAAAGAAACCAACTGTCAGTGTAGTTGCAATGGTGAGTTTTGAATTTATTCACTATCAAAATACTTTGCACATTTGACTTCTATTTATACAGGAAAGAGGTATTTCATCTGATGTAATATTTTCTTAGAGAGTATATTAATGGACAGGCAAAATGAATTGGTTGAAATTATTTTCATGGGAATGCTGATCTTAACTGGCCATGTGAACTGATCATCAATACCCACCCTTTCTGGCCTAGAGTTCAATATTCTTCTACTTAGTTGTTGCCAGCGATCTGTTGTCTACTCCAGCACTCCTCCCAGTCATTGCCATCTGGTGCTGCATCGAGTGCTGCCTTTAGTGGCTCTGAAATCCTGGCAAGGTTGGGGTCAAAGTTTCAGGCACTCATGATGACAGAAGGTAGCAACAGATTATTTGTTGCTATGGTTGGGCATATGTCTATTATTTCTCTTTGCTGAATAGCTGAAAATCTGGAATTTGAAAGCCGTAGTATAACTCTTTTTCATTTTCTGGTGCAACTACAGTGGTCCTTTGGAAAGCTAAAGGACCTTTTTTTCCCTTTTTCTTTCTTTCTTTTTTTTTTACTCACACTTGGAATAAGACAGGAATTTATACATGTGGCTAGTTGATGATCTCTGTATACCTGGATTCTTACTTCCTTTTTTCTAAGACTGGAAATGTAGGTGAATTATTAGGTAAACTGTTCCAGCAGTTAGAACCCAGGAGACTGCCAAAGCAATTAGGTTTTGCAGCATACAATTTATCACTTAGCCATAACACACCAGACATTTTTTTATGGGGAGGGAGTGGATAGACTGCCTTATAAAATGAATTTTAGTGAATTTAATACACATATAAAAATAGGGGAAAAACAGTCACATGACTTTTACACCAAGGACTCTGTGTCACGCAAGCTTCATCTTCCTGTATGACGCTGCTCCTTTTTTTTTTTCTGTTCTATCTCCACTCCCTGTGGAATTTGGGGGAGATGAGACAATATACTTTAGTCATTCTCAGATTACTTGAATAACCAAGTGACAGTTTTTGTTTGTATTAGATTTTGTATTTACATTTCCCTACATTCTTGTACGGAGAGAAGCTTTTATGTTCAAGTTGGATTTGTTACCAAAATTTCAATTCTGTCATTGTGAAACCAAAACATTTCTGACTTTTGTAGTTTCCTTTTTGTTATTTGTACTACATATATTTTTAAAACTGGGGAGTCTTATAGATTATTAATAGAAAGCTTAACAGACCTTCTATGTTGAGATAATACCATCAATACTCAGTTCATTTCAAGCCACAAAAGAATAAAAATTTGGAGTTGCATGTGGGGTAAAAATAACACACATACAGCACTATGTGCCAGGCATTATTCTAAGTACTTTACATATGATCTCATAATCCTTACAGATCCTTTTGAGATAGATAATATTGTTATTCCAGTTTTACAGATGACAAAACTGAGGCCAACATACTTAACTTGCCCAGGGATACACAGTGGAACCAGGGTAGAGGGAATATATTATAAGCCTTTTGATGAAATGCGGTACTACTTAGATTTTCCTCTTTTTTCCTGAAGAGTTGACACAGAAAATGGTGAACATAACTTGTGTATAAAACTTATAAATAAGGACACAACCAGTAAATTGAGTAGTAAAATTCTGATGTACTAGCCTTGGTTATTAATAACAGTTTCCAGATAAGACAAAAAAACATGTTCCTGGGGTTTCTAAGAACCGCAGGTTTGATGATTCTTTTCAGCTGTTATACTCACAGCTAAGATTTATTACAACAAAAAGATACAAAGAAAAATCAGTAATGGCAAAGGGAAAATGAAGGAAAGCCCTAGAGAAACCAGACAGAAGCTCCCAAAATCCTCTCCCGTGGAGTCACACAGGCCACATCTAATTTCCCCAGTAATGAGTTGTGACAATACATGTGGAAAGCTATCAGAGAAGCTCACTGAGACTCAGTGCCCAAGTTTTTTATTGGCAGTTGATCACGTAGGCACCCTTTCTGCCCAGCATGCACCGAAACTCCAGATTCAGAGAAGGAAGGCAGATGTCCAGCATGTTGACTGAACAGATAGGTTGGCCACATTTATCAACAAGAGTGCTAGTGACCCTACCAAAACCCAAGTTCAACATACCAACATACCAAACTTGTCTGCAAGCCTTTCTAAGCATAGCAACCTCAGAGCAGCTTTTCTTAACCCTGTTAATTTATTTCTCCTACAAGACATTTTTGCAGTCTGGAGCAAGTGGTAAGGAATAGATTTAAAATTTTCTACTAGCGTTTATTTATATCAGTGTATTTATTCTGTATGTGGTTCAACATTTACAGAAACCCAAAAGTAAAATAAAATCTAAAGCAAGTGAGGAAATGAGACAAATGGAAACAAGGGCAAGAAAAATAAAAGTTGGACTGTAGTTCCCACACAAAATGAACTCCATAAAAAATTATATACTCTTGACAGAACTGTGCTGTAGATTCAATTTTGAGATTTCTACTTCATGTATCTTACTGAAATAAATTTTTCTAAATGACTAATAGCTAGCAATGTCAAGTGCTTCCTCTTGTTCTAGCCTTTATTAAGTACCCCACATGTATTATTTGACTTAACCTTCACAATAACCCTGTGATACAGAAACCTGTGTGATGTTTATGTTCCAGGTGAAGAAACTCACTCAGAAGTTAAATAATGCATTCAGAGTCACAGGGTCACATAGCTAGTAATGGGGGGCAGGCCCAGATTTTGCCCATATATGCCTATTAGTTCTTACAGCTGCAATCATTTGTAATAGTTTATGATTAAACTCTTATCTGCCTGGAATTAAAGAGTTCTTTGTTGATACCTTCTGATCTTCTGACACCTGGTTATTGAGGACTTTATCCCCCAGCTCAGTATGTCGCTGTCCACTCCTGGTGCTCCTGTCGACTTGGATGACTCATGGTTACATGGATAACCACTCCTTGACCTTCATAGCTGCAATGATCTTATAAATCTACCTGTATCTGAATGTGCTCCTCCTCTTCTTTTCCAGTTGCAACAGACTTTTATTTCTTAAAACTAAGTACTTGTACTTCGGCTTTCATCTCATGTCCTCTGCCTTCTCGAGGACCTGACATTATTATCATTGCTTCTCTTCTGTATCTCCAAAGTCTCTTTCTCAACCCGGTCTGCCTCATTGGCATTGATGGGTCAAGGCTCTTTGGTCTTAACAAATGCCCTCCTCCGAGGCCCCTGCTACCTGCTCGCTTCACTTTTTGTCTTGTTTTCGCCTTCCAGTTAGTCCTCAGCCTGTTGGAGTTTGACTCTTGTCCCCACCACTCACTGAATTCAGGGCCCATTTAGGATTCCATCCTGACCCTCGGCAGCACTTGACACTGCCTGTCATTTCCTTTCTTCTGTTTGCATCTGTGATGTCACAGCCTGCTCATTTTCCTTCCAGCTCTTTGTCTTTTTCTTGTGTGAAGAAAAACACTTTGTGAAGTGAAGACTTCCTCAACTCCTCCTCCCTGGAGTCAGGGATGCTGTTGACATTCCTCTAGTTCCACAAAGCCACTTTCAAATTATTTTTTGATCCTTATGCAAGATTCCTTGGCCATTTCAGCTTCACTCTGCTTAATTATCCTGTCTGTTATCCATGTTCAGTGCCATCACTTATCTAACCACTCCCCCTTCCTTGGGTACTGTGGCATTTGCTGGCTTCTACTCCGTTCATTGATGCTCCCGTTATTCTTCTGAGTATTTTATAAATACTCTTCTGAGTATCTTATAAATAACTCTGAGGTTCGACATTCTTTTTTTTTTTTTCTAAACATGGAATGTTTCATGACTTGGTGTGTCATCCTTGTGCAGAGGCCATGCTAATCTTCTCTGTATTGTTCCAATTTTAGTATATGTGCTGCAGAAGCGAGCACCCTAGGTTCGACATTTTTTGACCTCTTCAGTTCCAGCACCCACCCCGTTCTCTACTTGAGTAAATTACACCTGTGTGCAGCGCCTTGGGCTTATCATCTGTTTGGACTTTCATCTACAAAGTTGTGAACTCAGACCTGTCAGTCTTTAGCAGCAACTTCCGATTCTTCCAGTTATGCTCTTCCTCTCCAGTGTCCCCCTTATCACATTGTGAACTTGTTTCCTGTTGCTAGTAGGATAATGCCACAGCTTAGTGACTTAAAACAATGCAAATTTATTACCTTACAGTCTGGCTTCAGATGTTTTACTAGACTAAAAACAAGGTATTGGTAGGATTTCATTTCTTCTGAAAGTTCCAGAGGAGAATCCGTCTCCTCCCCTTTTTTAGCTTCCAGAGAACACTTGCATTCCTGGACTCATGGGCCCTTCCTTGCGTTACTTCACCTCTTATGTCAGCCATCACACCTTCTGCTACTGACTCTGAGCCTCCGCCCCCCTCTTATATGCACCCTGATTACATTGGGTGGGTGATTACATTGCACCCACCTGGATAATCTCCTGTCTCCAGATCCTTAAAACATGAATGGATTAACAAACTGTGGTATATGTATATGGTGGAATACTATTCAGCCATAAAAAGATGGAGACTTTGCATCTTTTGTATTTACCTGGATGGATGTGGAGAACATTCTCCTCAGTAAAGTATCTCAAGAGTGGAAAAGCAAGCATGCCGGGTGCTCAATACTAAGTAGAAACTAGTACATTAATAACGGCAGGCCCACACAAGAGAAAGACATAATTAAATTCAAGAAGGGGGAAAGGGAGGTTGTTCTCTAAGTTCCCACCTAACAAGTACAACATAGCAGTATATGGCACACTTCTTGGGTAAAGTACTTAACTACAACTCAGATTTTACCTTACAAACACAAACAGTGTAATCTAATTGTATGCAGCCTCATATTAATCTGAAAACAAAGAAACAAACAAATAGCAACAAAAAGGAGGGGTTCCTTGACCACGTAAGGAAGCATATTCACAGTTCCTGGATTCGGATGTGGAAATGTTTGGGGGACCTTATTTTGCCTGCCACCCCCGGTCAGGCTTTACTCTCTCTTCTCCTAGTATCTGTCCTTCATTTTTACTCTTCTGAAAATCTATCCATGGCAGCCACATCCTATTACTTCAGTTTCTACCCTAAAACCATTGAAAGCCTTTCCTTTCCACTAACCTAGATTAGCATAAAACCCAAACCCCATCCTGTGAGGGCCACGATGTCTGACCTTTCTCTAACCTCTGACTTCACGTCAGACAAATCTCCCTCTCTTGCCGCAGGGTGCGTTCTATTTGATCCTTGAGACTCAGAAAGCTGATTTTCATCCAAGGACCTAGGCATTTGCTCATCCTGCCGAGCATATTCTTTAGCTAGATCATCACGGGATGAGCTGCGTCGTTCCTGTGAGTGAGGTCTCTCCTTGGATGTTACCTTCTCAGCCAGACATTCTCTCACCAGCCCGTCTAAACTAGCTGACCCTGCCTGTCACTGTGGCATGTTACCCTGTGTGATATTTCTTCTGAATACTTACTGCTGTCTGATTTTCTTGTTGGTATATTTGTCTTTTCTCCAGATACACCAACAGGGAGCAGGGATTTTGGTGTATTTTGTTCACTGCTATATCCCATATGACCAGAACAGTGCCCAGAGCTTTAATAGGTACTTAGATACTGAATGAATGTTGAATGCATCACTTCCCTCTTTTACTATATGCGCTAGAATAAGCTTTATGATACTGAATGAATGTTGAATGCAGCTCTTCCTTCTTTTACTATATGCACTAGATATAAGTTTTATGAGGACAGGAAGCTTATTTTGTTCGTTGTTTTTATCAGGACTAGAACCAAGCCTGACTCTTATTAGGTGTGTAATAAATATTTTCTGAATATTCAGTGAGTGAACAAATGAATGAATTCACTGATTTCCCTCTCCATCCCAGGCACCATGGTAAGGTCATGTTCATCACCGAGGCTGCTGAATGCTCCCTCAACCTCTTATCTGCCAGCTCCTTCTACTTCTTTGCCGTGGGAAGCCCAACCGTTGGCTTTCAGCACAGATTAACCTTCCTTTTATGTGGTTCTGGTTCACCGTGTCTCTCTTTCCTGAGTATCTAACCAAACATTTTCTTATTTCCTTTCTTAAAAGGGCTTCACTTGTAATTAGTTCATGTTCTGTCTTATATCTCACCTGAAGTATTAAACTTTTTTTGTTTGACTGTTCTTTAACTGTAAGAGCCTGAAAAGTCTTATTAATTATTACATTTCCAAGACCAATAATAATACCTGCTTATTTGTACATTTTTATGTTATATACTTAATAGAAAGTCCTTGTATTAAGTCTCATTTCTATCCTCAGAAAAAGGATAGAAAGATTTTCTGCACATATAAAAGATAGTAAGATTTTCTGCACATATAAATATTCTCCTCATTTTGTAAATGTGGAAACTGATGTTCAAGGCCACTAAGAGATTTGCTGCCACCACCCCCCAAAGTTTCCACCCCCAAACTACAGAGCTAGGGCATTTCTGAGGCTTTTGACCTACTTAGCATTGTGTTGCCACTTTCCTCAAATCTTACCTCCTCTCTAGAAATCAATCTTGCTTCATGTCACAAAGAAATAGGAGATTTTGAACTCTCTCAGCTGTATTTGTATTCCTGGAAACTCACTTAATATTTGTACTATTATCTTGTTTTTTCTGGTTGAAGCAAAGAGATATACATTTGCCTGTTTGAGAACCATCTTCTCTTTATCAAGTTTTTAAAAAACAATTGCTAAATATTTATTTAGAGATGAGTGTCTTGCTGTGTCACCCACGCTGAACTTAAACTCCTGGGCTCAGGGGATTCTCCCACATCAGCCTGAGAAGCTAGGACTACAGGTGCATGCTGTAGTGCCTAGCTCTTTACCAAGTTTTATTATGAAAAATTTTAAACATATAAAAAGGTAGAATAGCAAACTTCACACATCTATACCCACCATGTATATCTAATAATTGTTAATATTTTACCATATTTCATCTGAAATTATAGATTTCATATTTCATATGTAAGTACCTCAGTTTATATGTTCAAAGTATTTCCTACTACACATTTTTCTATAAAACTGTAATTTTTCATGTAATGCAATGATCATTACAATGATCACTTAACAAAATGAACAATACTTCCTTAACAGCGTGTAATGCTTAGTTCATATTCAAATTTTCTCAGTTATGTTCAAAAAAATGTCTTTTACAATTGATTTGTTCAAAACAAGATTCAGTCAGTGATGACATTTGGATATTGTGTTTCTCGAGTCTAGAACAGTTACCTCTTCAAGTTTCACTGACATATTAAAAAGACTGCACCATTTGTCCTGTAGGATGTCACACCTTCTCGACTATTTTGATTTTTTCCATGTGCTTCCATGCTTTGCATTTCTTATATGCCGAAAATTAGTTCTAAGGGTTTCGTTTCATTCATGTTAGATATTTTTGGTAAGACAATTGTGTAGGGGATGCTGCGTACTTCTTATCAAGCATCAAATGTTAGGGTGTTCTACTTTTTTGTGAAGCTAACTTTGATCGCTTGACTAAGATTATACCTCCACTGTAGAGGTACCTCTGCCCCCTTGCCATTATGAAGGAATCGTGGGGCATTGTGGAGATATCTTGTTTCACATACTACATATAGCATTCACTAATGATCCCCTGCCTCACAATTATTTCCCCTTGAAATAATTGTTCCATTATTGTTTTGGACATTGTTTCATCTCTGTTTTCTTCCTATATTTCCACCAATTGTCTCCTTGACCAATTTACCTATAAACATAAGACTACATTAAATAGTCCTCCCTTGACATTGTTTTCTACTCTAGTAACGATCCTTTCGCTTCTTTTCACCTCAAGATCGTCAAAAGGACAGTCAAAAGCCAGGCAGCTACTCAGGAAACTGAGGTGGGAGCATTGCTGGAGCCCAGGAGTTGGGGGCCATAGAGTACCATGATTGTGCCTGTGAATAGCCTCTGCACTCCAGCCTGGACAGTGTAGTGAGAGCTCATCTCTTAAGGGAAAAAAAAGTTGACATGCCATTTCTATTTCTTCCTGGATGATTTGATCTCATCCACTCCTATGACTTCTGCTGCACATCCTGGAGTCACAACACTGTGTCCCAAAGTCTGAATTCTTTCTATGTACTTCCCAGATTTCAGTTCCAGGACGGGTATTCAAATAGGACTAAATGAGATTTCTCTGCCCTCCTTCCACACCAACCCTTGCCTCTTCCAGTTTTCCCAGCTCAGTAAAGAGTGCCTGGGAGTCAGTCTACTTTTTCTTGCTACTTCCACACTTCACACTCCAAACTTGAGAGATCCCAGTCTTTTCTAAGCATATCGTGGTCTTTCCTGTCTCTGCTTACTCTTCGTCCTGGCTGGAATGCCTTCCTTCTTCTAAACAGTTACTCACTTTTCAAAGCTGGAAGTGAAAGGTAACATCACCTCCTCTATGAAACTTTTCCCCAAAGAAGGGAATGATCGTTGGCTCAATTTTGTGTCTATTCTGTACACCAGGCTATCAAAGCATGTAGAGTGTCTATTGCATGAACTTTCTCTTTTCTTTTTTTTTTTTTTAATTTTTTTGTAGCAACAGAATCTCACTTTGTTGCCCTTGGTAGAGTGCTGTGGTGTCACACAGCGCATAGCAACCTCCAGCTCTTGGGCTTAGGCAATCCTCTTGCCTCAGCCTCCTAAGTAGCTGGGACTACAGGCTCCTGCCACAATACCTGGCTATGTTTTTGTTGCAGTTTGGTGGAGGCCGGGTTTGAACCCACCACTCTCAGTATATGGGGCTGGCACCCTACTCACCAAGCCACAGGTGCCACCCTGCATGAACTTCTTCTTTGCCCTCCTCCTCTTTAAACTCTCTGATAGTAAGGGTTATGTCTCTGACATTTATCTCTGACTTTTATCTGCCAT